GACACTCAAATCAGTAATAGGGTCCACCTATTATAGACTGTACCGCAGTACATCCACGCCTTAAATGTTGACTGTGCCGCACTATAACAACGCTGTAAATGTACAGTTTGTAGCCGGGTTTCGGAGTCACAATCGGAGTCGGAGTCGCACGGAGTCTTGGCAACAGGCCTAGAGTCGGAGCTGGGGTCGGAATTGTCCGAGCTGTCTCGACTCCGACTCCGGTAATGCGCGTTAGAATATGAGTTGTGGCTTGCTCAAGAGGTTGAAGATAACTTAAGCATACCAGATTGAATAAATGTTACTATTATTTTGCGTTAGTTCTAAAAATGACTCTAACCTTACACTATAACTTGGTCCCAGTCCTGTGATCTATAGAACCTAAGTAAATTTTGGCTCCCTTGAACCGAATACCTCTTCTGCGAAGCAAGACTACCTGCGGTCTCGGCTCAAGCAGGATGCCGTCGTTCCAAATAAAATATCCGAGCGATTTACAACAAACGCGAGTGGATTGCGCTTGTTGAAATGTCCCAGATGAGCACACACTGTTACCTCAGCTTAACCCTCGCCGGCCGAGGGGGGGGGGGCGGGTGCCGCCCCCCCCATAGGGTTTTTTCGCGATAGCTCCGAACACGCTGGCGACAGAGAGCTGAAACTTGAATCATACCTGACCTTTGGTTCAACCCGGAATCCGGATCTTTTGACACCAACCGCATTTTCGGGTCAGGTCAGGTCACTGACTTATGACGTCATAAGTGAACCTCGGCACGGTCTTCAGATGTCGCAACTTCGCAACGCCCTCACTGCCAGAGGAGCTGCCACGGGGAAATGAAGCTTGCAGGATCTAGTATCCATTACGAGTCTCACAAATTGTATACATCGGATTTGTCCTAAAGATCATACGAGTATGAGGTCAGGTCATTTTCGTGACCTCACCATTATAAGTCAATGGGGAAAAAATGAAAACCGCTATTCTGGGACCGGGAACGATCTCCAACTATTTCAAGCACACAGAATCGTGATTTGATGCACTTTTTGCAAGGTTCGATGCGTCACTTTTGCAATGTTGACCTTGCGTGACGGCATTTATGACGTCATTACGGTCATATTCGTTTTTCGTCAATAACTCTCGATCAAATTGAGCTAGCGAGTCGGCAAGCCACCAATGGACTCAGGAAGACCTGGCAAATCTAATGATATGCGACATTACCTCCTTTGACCAAGTTCGTGACCTGGGGGCGCTGACCTGACCGTGACCTGAGGTCAACACCCAAAGTTGACCTCACCCAAACAAAAAAGTATATCATTTGACGCGCCTGAGCGAGGCAAGCACGATGCTGCCAAAATCGCGGCTGTGCGACCGTGTTTTGCGAAGTTATTCACCGAAAACCGAACCGTGCCTTGGGTCACTTGACCTGACCTCAAAGGTCAACGGTTGACCTAGGACCTTAAAAGCTGGTATCAGTCTCTTTGTCTCATAACGGCGCACACGCTCGTTTTTTTTTCCGCGACGCGCTAGCTCCACCAGGGGCGAAATGGCGAAGGGGTCGTACACCCGCCCCCGCCCCTCGGCCGGCGCGTATGTAGAAAACAAATAGGTCCGGCGAGGGTTAATATTGGACCTTACTATGGCAGGTGAAAATCAAGTTGCTAGAAAAATCGGCCGTTTTAAGCTCACATTCCGATAACCGATGCTTTCGCTCCTTAACAAATAGCGACATAAAACTCTGATAGAACGTTGAAAATCAGACTCCGAGAAGCCGTGCTGCCTTTAGCTAACAACACGCAGAGGAAGGGTTGCATCAGCTCCCCTCCGTACCGGCGTGGGTTAGGATTTCACCCATTATAGGCCACAGTGCATTGATCCGGAGTCAGAATAAGAGTCAGAGTCGTAGTAGGAGCCGATGAAAAATTCGGATTCGGAGTCCAAGTCGGAGTCGGAGAATATCACCACGACTCTGAAACCCTGGACTTTTATCGCACTTGAGTCACCCCGTAAATATATTTTCTACCGCAGTATGCAGCGCCGTAAATACAGACTGTACCGTACTACAGCAGCGCCGTAAATTTAGACTGTACCGCAATACAGGAGCGCCGTCAATATACACTGTACCGCAATACTGCAGCGCCGTAAATATAGACCGTACCGCACTACATCCACGCCGTAAATGTAGACTGTACCGCAATACAGCAGCGCCGTCAATATAGACTGTGCCGCAATATGACAGCGCCGTAAATTTAGACTGTACCGCAATACAGGAGCGCCGTATAAATATAGACTGTACCGCAAAACAGCAGCGCCGCAAACTTAGATTGTACCGCAATACAGGAGCGCCGTCAATGTAGACTATACCGCAATACAAGAGCGCCGTAGATATAGACTGCGCCGCACAACAGCGCCGTAAATATAGACTGCACCGCAACACAGGAGCACCGTTAAATAAAGACTGTACCGCAATACAGCAGGGACAGTCACTGATCGCATTACACCTGCAGTTTATCGCAGAGCTGCCGTTGCCCCACTACCGTGCTGTCACTGCTTGGTCGGTGTTCAGCGATTATAGCGATGCTGTGGGAATTTTCTGTCTGTCTGTCTGTCTGTCTGTCTGTCTGTCTGTCTGTCTGTCTGTCTGTCTGTCTGTCTGTCTGTCTGTCTGTCTGTCTGTCTGTCTCTCTCTCTCTCTCTCTCTCTCTCTCTCTCTCTCTCTCTCTCTCTCTCTCTTTCTCTCTCTCTCTCTCTCTCTCTCTCTCTCTCTCTCTCTCTCTCTCTCTCTATCTCTCTCTCTCTCTCTCTCTCTCTCTCTCTCTCTCTCTCTCTCCTCTCTCTCTCTCTCTCTCTCTCTCTCTCTCTCTCTCTCTCTCTCTCTCTCTCTCTCTCTCTCTCTCTCTCTCTCTCTCTCTCTCTCTCTCTCTCTCTCTCTCTCTCTCTCTCTCTCTCTCTCTCTCTCTCTCTCTCTCTCTCTCTCTCTCTCTCTCTCTCTCTCTCTCTCTCTCTCTCTCTCTCTCTCTCTCTCTCTCTCTCTCTCTCTCTCTCTCTCTCTCTCTCTCTCTCTCTCTCTCTCTCGATCGGATCCACCCACTAGTGATCAGCTTTCTTTTGCCGCTGTGGTGCATACGTTTTTTTTTGGGGGGGGGGGGGCAGTTGCGGAATAATCCGGAACAGAACAGGCGTCGAAGCCGCTGCCCCTGGGCCCTGAGCCGATGCGAAGCGCTGCGGACATCAGCCGCGTGCGGGCTCTACAGAGGGCGCGCTGACCTCGGCAGTGTGAGGGAGCAGATGGCGACACTCTAGTCGTGCTGCAGTGTCAGTGTGTCGTAGTGGTGTCAATTACGGAAAATCGGAATACCGATACCAAACCAAATACCAACCACAACCGTGGGGAAATACCGAAACCAAACCAACTTGGGAAAATGAGGGAAATACCAACTTTATACCGATTTCTTAGCCTCTTATACATTAGTGAGGGTTCATGACACCAACAAAATACTAACCACATTACCAAGTTGGTATCGGTTTGGTATCGGTATACCAAAAAGTTGGTATCCGATTGACATCTCTAGTGTGTCGTGTCAAGAGAATTGTAGGCGATACTCGATGGTAGCGCTGTGCGTAACGTGTTGCACTCGTCTCATTGCGAAGGGGAATTCTTGCGTGGGAGGTTTCGGCACAACCAAGATAGCTACAGAAGGCTAGGCTGTGATGTAGGTACATATGTGAGTGTGTTTTACGCATGAAGATGTGGCAATGTAGGTAGTGGTATAGTAATGCTCATTTGCGTCTTTGAATCCGTTGTTCATAAAAAAGAGATACAGGGTGGTTTTTTTTTTTAACTGTTAAAAAGTAAACGTCAATGGTGGTCCCTAAATCGAAAAATCGCGTGCAAAAAAGCAATGCACGTGATAGATAAATCTGGGACATTTTGTATGTTGTCATCATTTGTCCCTTTTCACCGACGGCCTCGGCCCTAATGGAGCCTGAACACGCATGGTCCACTGCCGTTCAGTAAGGAACGACACAAAACGATGATTTTGAAGCATTGAGGCAGTTCGAAGCATACGATGATCAAGGAGATACCTCAAAAAGACGTTAAATAACGCACGAACAAGCTTGTAGTCATAAATAACCTTCAAACGGTCTATCTGGCGTAAGTGCAGCCTCTGAAGAATCAGTCTTCAGGGAGAAAGAAAAACAGCGAATCAGACACCACCAGGGCCGTCAGTATCAAAATCCTCGACCTGCCCTCCCTAGACTTCTAGTTTTTGGACCCATCTATGGCAGATATAACGAGAAAACAGTGGAAATATCTGGCAGAGCTGAAAATTGGCGATAGGAGCATTTTCAGTCCGCCTATGAGTATGGGAGTCCATGGTGCTGTTCAACACGTGCTCAGGCGGGCTGATTCGTGTCGGTGAGAGAGGGGGTAACTTCAAGCACAAGTAAAATACACGCTGGACGTTCCTTCACATCGTGTTGCATGAAATCAAAATGTCCCAGAATGCTTGTCATCCTGGTATATAGTTTTGCAACATATGTTTACATTTTAACGCCACTAGACCTCATTACTTTTTAACAAGTAAAAAAAATCACCCTGCAAGGAAGCCGTATAACATTCGATGTTTAGTAGCATATATAATATCCAATGCAACCTAACAGAGAGATAAATGTCACAGTTAACGTGAACTCTTATTTACGAGCTTAGAGCTATGCCAGCCTTCGTCAGGAATATAAGACGAGACAGTTCGAAGTTTGGTGATATGTACTCGTATTGACAACTGGCGTAAGCTAAAACAACTTTTCTGAATGAACTATAAAATTTTTATTGAATGGCAATATTGTCAGAAAAGAATAAAGAAAAAAGGAAGAAGTAAATAAAGTAGAAATAAAAAACATGAAGACATTCAATACAATGTGGAACAGCGTTCGTTACTTAATATTGATGCAAGGTACGTAATAAACGTCGCTTTTTATGCCTATACCACCGGAACCTTAGCTTTTCGTGGCTGCCAAGCAGTCAGTTGTATTTTGTCAAATAAATGCACCCAGTGGTGTCATAATGCTGAGCTCGATTGCTCGTAAGCGGCTCACGCGTCGTTCGCCGCAATATTGTACGGGGCTCGTCTCACTGCGTGGTATGCATTCCTTTCTTCGACAAAGCCAGTTATACCTTTGATATAATATGGTGCATTACGAGTATAGGTATCCAGATACTATACTGACGTGCTTGTTCGCCCTCCTCTCCCCCAAAGTGAAGCTCACACGCATTTCAAATTGGCTCGGATAGTCGTTGCGCAAACGGATTCCCTGAAAGCTAATTGAAAAGCAACCATTCATGACTCACGTGGAAAAGTACCAAACCAGAGCGAAGATTTTCTTACGCAACTATGCCTTCACTAACATTTGTATGTATCCAATAAACGTTGCTGCCCAGTTACTTAGCATTTCATGCTTCCCTGTACGAATGATAAACACGGTGGGTCCAATACACACGGAGTGATGAGGCGCTGTTACGATGGTAATTATTGTGTGCGCACACCGCTGCTGGAGTGCCCTCGGGCTCATGCCGCATTGTGTTCATTAGCCATACCAGGAACGCCATCAGGTATTACGTCACTTTTCAGTAACGACGATGTTTGGTCGCGCGGCCCCTTATCCTTGCCGGCTGCAATCAATTCTTCGATTGCATAGCGGCCCCCATACCTTAGCAACGCCCCCAAACACACGGTGTGTCCACGTTATTCGGCGCATTTGAGCGTCCCGCCGTGGGTCGTTACATGCCGATCCCGTGTCAGCGACCGTACCGACCGCTCGGCCCCGGAGGCATCCACGGGCCGCCGCACTAGCCTCACCGGGCACCGTGGCAGGAGGACCCGCGCTTCCGTAGCTCGACCGGGTCCCGTGCCTTGTCCGCCTGAGGGTACTTCGGACGCCGCACGTCAGTTTATAAGTCTCTGTCTCCCCTCTTCGGCATCATGCGTGAGGTCATCAGCGTGCATATCGGCCAGGCCGGCATCCAGATGGGCAACGCCTGCTGGGAGCTCTACTGCCTCGAGCACGGCATCCAGCCCGACGGCCAGATGCCCTCAGACACCAGCGTTGGCGTCGCCGACGACAGTTTCAACACGTTCTTCTCCGAGACCGGCGCCGGCAAGCACGTGCCGCGCGCTGTGTTCGTGGACCTGGAGCCGACGGTGGTAGACGAGGTTCGTACTGGCACATACCGCCAGCTGTTCCACCCGGAGAACCTGAAAAGCGGGAAGGAGGATGCTGCCAACAACTACGCACGTGGCCACTACACCATCGGCAAGGAGCTCATTGACCAGACAGAGGATTCAATTCGTAAGATGGCAGACCAGTGTTCCGGATTTCAGGGTTTCCTCATCTTTCATTCGTTCGGTGGCGGCACTGGCTCTGGCTTCACCTCCCTGGTGATGGAGAAGCTTTCACTGGACTACGGAAAGAAGGCGAAGCTGTGCTTCTCCATCTACCCGGCGCCGCAGGTGGCCACGGCTGTGGTTGAGCCTTATAACGCCATCCTGTTCGCTCACACCACGCTGGAGCACGCCGACGTCGAGTTCATGATGGACAACGAGGCCATCTACCAGCTGTGCCAGAAGAACCTGGACATCGCGCGTCCGACGTACACCAACCTGAACCGGCTGATCGGCCAGATCATCTCCTCCATCACCGCCTCGCTGCGCTTCGACGGCGCGCTCAACGTCGATCTCAACGAGTTTGAAACGAACCTGGTGCCGTACCCTCGCATCCACTTCCCGCTGGTCACCTACGCACCGGTCGTATCGGCGGAGAAGGCGCAGCACGAGAAGTTCACCGTAGAGGAAATCACGAGGTCCTGCTTCGAGCCGGATAACCAGATGGTGAAGTGCGATCCGCGCGACGGCAAGTACATGTCCTGTTGCCTGCTGTACCGCGGCGATGTCGTGCCCAAGGATGTCAACGCCGCCATCTCCGTCATCAAGAACAAGAAGACGATCCAGTTTGTCGACTGGTGTCCGACCGGCTTCAAGGTGGGCATCAACTACCAGCCGCCGACCGTGGTGCCCGGCGGCGACCTGGCCAAGCTACAGCGCGCTGTGTGCATGCTCTCCAACACCACTGCCATCAAGGACGCCTGGGCGCGCCTGGACCACAAGTTCGACCTCATGTTCGCCAAGCGCGCCTTCGTGCACTGGTACGTCGGCGAGGGCATGGAGGAGGGCGAGTTCTCCGAGGCGCGCGAAGACATCGCGGCGCTGGAGCAGGATTACGAGGAGGTAGCGCAAGACGGTGATATTGATGAAGAAATTGAGGATGAGTACTAACTCAGCAGCTGAAGAAAAACTTGAGCTAACTATTTGTGACTGCGTGAAGTCATGAAGCTTTGTTTCTCACGTGAATATTACACATCTATCGTATGGTGTCAAATATATTTGACCCAGCTTTGTTGGTGAAACGAAAAATATACATAAGCTACTTTACTTTAGCCTTTTCTTTACGCAATGCATTGATTGATCTGGCCTAAGCATTTTCTACAGGGGCATATCCATATGTTTGAAACAGGATAGAGAGTAAGTCGTTTCCCTTTACCGCTATAGTTAGCAAGTATAAATGTTCACACAACAGAAATTGTATTAAATGTTGACGCTGCGCCACCCTAGTTTTAGGCATAGCTCACGTGTTAAGACTTCATTTGTTGGATCACACCTATTGTTGGTCTTAGGCTTGCAAATTACTCACAACTCGCAAACTATTTGACCACTGATGACATATTTACCTTAACGAAAACGAAAAGGACCAGAATCCCCTCGATAAACCTTCTTACCCGTTTACGAACGATTTCACAGCTTCTTGGACTTCATTGTCCCCGGTGAATGATCACAGGAAACTTACGGTATTTATTATTGTTTGTATGTTTTCTTTACTTTTTAAAGGGTGGCTATAATCTTTTTTCTGCTTAGGGGTTGGGACTGATGCATGCCTACTTGCAAAAGAACTGATATTTGGGATAATCAAGATGTTGTTTCTGAGTGGCAGGGTGGAGAACGTTGTTTATGGCTGTTCAACGATAACAAACTGGGAGATGACGGATGGTGTTGCAAACTGTGCTGAGTAGCTGGGTCGGTACGGGCTCCTGAAACAATGTCTGAACCATGGCTATCGGAACTTAGCTAATAATATATCATCCACAAAGCCAAAGCATATATGCTTTGTGAGCCGGTAACTTCCAGAGTTTTGGAACCGTCGCACTTGCATTTTTTAACGATGTGTTTAACAGTTTTGCATTGAACTTGTAATAAATCGACACAGATATAATAAAATTATTATAAACCGACAGACAAACAGACACAAACAGACATATGGTACAACTTATTAAATAAACATCACACGAGGAGGAGAGGAACTCTCTCATTTTCATTTCACCGCACTAGGTATCCGAAGAAAATCATCGCCCTATAAGTCACCTATAATGTTCCTATTAACTCAGCCCTTTCTAAATCCCAAGTCGGCGACGCACGGTTGATATGTATGTAGGTGTATTACTATATACAATAAAGCAGTGCGTACCGCAGCTTCGATAGCATCTGTCGGCGATCACTAGAAGGGGCGGATCCAGCTCATTTTTTTGTGGGGAGGGGGGCAAACCATAACAATTTATCGATTCTTTCCATGCCTCGTCCATAAGCGTAATGTTAAAATTATGCCGTTTGGGAGGGGCAAATGCCTGTTTTGCCCCCCCCCCCCTGAATCCGCCACTGATCACTGGAAGGGTGTGACGTGCTGGAGGAAGAACTCCACCTGGCGCTGGGTGCGGAGCACGCGCGGCTGTTTGAACTGCGTCACGAACGCCGACGTCGTGTCGAACTGGAACTGGCGGAACTGCTGGAACGTTCCCGGCTCCACCAGCCGCACCTGAAGACACACAGGGGTGTGTATTGTGTGAGAAAGGGGAAAGGGGAGAGAGAGAGAGAGAGAGAGAGAGAGAGAGAGAGAGAGAGAGAGAGAGAGAGAGAGAGAGAGAGAGAGAGAGAGAGAGAGAGAGAGAGAGAGACTCCGTCTATCAGTACACTCTACTTGTGACCCTTCCGCCTGTCCGTTTGTACTGTCTGATTATGTCTGTCTGTCTGTCTGCCTGTCCGTCCGTCCGTCTGTCTATCTCTATATCTGTACATCATATGTATATATTTCTGTCTGACTACTGACGGCTTGTTTGCTTGTATAATGGTATGTTTGCACTTTGCATACCTGTATGTTATAACGTACTTCGGCTCGGCAATCGGCATCCTCCGATGTATGTATGTAGCATTATCCCGTAAATAATTTGCACAGGTAAAAGTGTTTTCATGGAATTGGTTTTACACTCAATCCCATGAAATCACAGCATCTGCAGACATTTTTAATGATGAACCCTTCCACGAACATACAAACAGTGACGCGTATTATAATTTCAGCAGCCTCATAGCGGTTAGTATGAAGTTTTGACGCATGTAGCATACCTTCATAGGTGCAATGGACCCCTTGTCGCGGAACGACTTGTAGACATAGTGCTGTTCACGCAGGACCTCATCGATCTGAAGAATAAATATTTCACCGTTCGTAAACACTTAAACTGCGGCCCCGCATGCCGGCGATGTGCCTTCTGAGTCACAAATATAGGGTCAGCCAACTCGGGCTAGCAAACAGGATGTCCAACCGAGCTAATGTCGCGACGACAAACCTTATAACTTGTAAACGGGATTAGATACAGCAGCAGCAGGAGCGCATGAATTTGAGATCGTTTATTTAAATGTGCGGTTCAGTTTCGAAAGAACTGGCTTCACTATTCCGTTTTTATTTTACGGGTATTATAGACGATTGTTGACGCATTTAACTTCCTCGGGTTTGAGGGTACGTTGTTTGGAATGCAAGATTACTGCTTATTCAGTGCCGTGTTACCGTTTCGGCCTGCTGCGCTGAGAGCTGGCCCTTCTCCAGCTCCAGGAGGACCAGGTAGTAGGGCGCGCCCGGCTGCGGGCTCGGGTCCAGCACGCTCTCGGCGCTGGTGACCTCTCGCACGGAGACGCCGCTCCAGCGTCCGGCGGCCGTCTGCAGGGCCGTCATGAACGCCTCCTCCGACAGCTTCTCCATGTGCACGTTTAGCATCTGGCCCGCCCTGTGAAACAGAGGTGACCAGAGAAATCATGTGGATGTTTCGATAGCAAGCTTGGGCTGTGATAGCAACGAACGGTTCGGCGGCGAATAGCGTTACGCATTTGCTCCGTTTTGCTTTTCTCATTACTGTATTTCTTATTCATCCTTTGAGCCAGGCTTGTCTTTTATTCGCGCGATACCGCATACAGACCTAAACTGGAAGTCGATGCAGGGTGCCTGGTGGTAGAAGTCGACCACCTTGACCACGTCTCCCTGACGGTAGCGGTAGAAGCCCGCGTTGTTGGTGATGACCGGCTCATACAGGCTGCCCACCTGGAACACGAGCGTACGGCTGCATGTGTACGTTTGATTCTTATCCCAACAGCGTCTTTGGCTCACATTCGTACCTAGTCTTCCCCTAAAACCATGGACCTTGGTTGGATGACGGCCCGCATTTGTGTTGTACACGTCATCCCAAGGTCAAGAGCGGCACAGAGGGCTGTTTGTGCACCGTCACTACAATCATACTCTCGTGATATCAGCATTTGCAAGAGTCACCAACTGGCAGTCGAGATCAGCAGAGGACAGAGATATGATACGGACATTGGACAAGGATAAGGATATGATAGCACTCCTTCTCACAATTCCTCATAATCCCGCTTCCATTGTGCTTGGTCCAGCAACTGAACAACTGAACAGCCAGGTGCATTGAACAGCACTCAGCTTTGGCAGCAGAACCCACTGATCAATCCTCCCGGATCACCTTGAGCTGATCGGCGAGCAGCGGCTCCGCGCCGTCCAGCGGAGCCCCGGCGTCATCCACGGGCAGGAACTCCACCAGAGCCATGGTGGGCACCACCACGTAGGCGGGATCGGCGCCGGCCGGACGTGTGTTGACGGCGAAAAACGCCTCCGACGAGCCGTACACGACTGACCGCGGTCGAAAACGCTCACATTAGGCATGCTGGTGCTTCTTTGTATACGGACATGTGTGCGCTACCTATGTTCTTCGTCTTTACTCGTTATATCGGCCCATATGATTACCTATGCCATCGATAGTGGCTGAAGAGAAATTACGGAACTATTCGAAGGCGTAAAACAAATAAGGTTGCCAAGATGATTACAATAAACCACATAATTTTCCGTAACAAAATCAAAGACTTTCGGAAAATTATATACAAATATCCACTCGATACGAAATCTAAGCATAGCGTTTACGCACATGAGATTGGCTTCAGGTGCCCCAGGTATGGGAGGCACTTGCTCTTGTAGAGTGACATTGATGTTCCGGAGTGGAGCATCGATACACTGTTCACCTTTGGGAATATCCGAGGGATGATCGCTGTAAACCCTGGAAAAACAGTTACGTGATACGCAAATAATTGCATTGACGGCAAAAAAAGTATAGCAGCTTCGTCAAAGTAACGCAACGTTTCAGTAAGAAGTCAGATAGATATAAGTGAACATTTTGTTGTTTTATTATTCTATGCTTGATATCCGATGTCAAATGCTGATAGCTCGCAAGTCGCAACTGTGGCAAATGGATGCGTCTGATAATTGAGGACGAGATAGCACCGCGACGGTAAAAGGCACTTGAAAATCAGAAGGTCTGACTAGATAACGCTTGAAATTGTATTACACCTTTTTGCACTCAAAATAGGCATCTTTTCATTCAATTTCGGCGAATTGCATTCAATTTTAGCGATCTCTCATTTGCTTCGAACAGAGAGATCGCTGAAATTGAATGCAATTCGCCGAAATTGAATGAAAAGATGCCTATTTTGAGTGCAAAAAGGTGTATTTACTTACTTAACGTTAAAAAAGTTCATTTATTCATCTTTTTTTTGTACAAAACCTCCTTATTCAATGTAAGCTCTTGCTTGTCTGTAACCAGTGAATTGCGTTGTGGCTAGCAGCTATCTGTGTGCGGTCGATGCTCTCACCCTTTTCGAACTGGACCTCCAGTTGGTGGGCCCGCTGCGGGTCCGGCACCAGGTGTTTGTTGATGGCGCGCCGCTGCTCCTCCGTCACGTTCAGGCTCTCCTTCAGCCGACCCGATCGGATGTCCCCGACCAGGTCACGCCAGTGGCTCTCCAAGAACTGCATCACGTTATAGAAGGTGGAGGCGAACCCGAAGTCGACGCGACACAGGTCGGGGTCGCGCAGTCCGAACAGCAGTGACGTGTAGATGGCCTCCGTCTCGGTGTCGACCACATGCGCCCCGAACGGCGTGGCATACTGCGCCAGCATGTGCGGCTTCTTGGAGTAGATGCCGGAGAGCGGCCCGATGGGCAGCCCGCTGGGCGTATACCGCCAGCGCGGCTTGCACAGCAGCGCCATCTCCTTGTAGAGCGGGACGCGCACGGTCTGCGGCCGCGGCTGGAACACGCACAGCGCGGCGTGCATCTGCAGCATCACCGCCGAGAAGCCGCTCGAGATCGGGATGTGCTTGGACTTGCCGGTGGTGCCCGACGAGCAGGCCATCAGCAGCAGCTTGCTCTTGCCGAGGATGGCGCCGACGTCTCCGTTCTCGGCGCGCTCCAGGTACTCGGTGTAGTCGCTGTAGGTGGTGACCGGGTGCAGGCGGCGGAAGTCAGCCAGGCTGTGGATACGACCGAACTGGTGGTCCCGTCCGTACTGGGTGTTCTCGTTGTCACGGATCTGACGCAGCAGGAACTGCTCCTGGGCCTGGAACGGTGGGGAACACAGCTGAGTACGCCACAAGCCAAGATGGTAGAATTCGTGGACCCACTCCGCTGTGTAACAACGTCTTCCACAAGCTATTCCACTTCACGGGTCGCTACTTCCTTGCCATGATTAATCATGACTTGCTGATCAACATCAACATTCTAAATAAAGGTACATACTTAGTTACCTTGCTCGAGAGTTCCAATGAACTTTACACTCTGCAGAGTCCCTATACGCATTTCTCGACATTGAGGAGGCACTTTTAGGGTTCAACTAATTACTTATATGCCTGCATTGTCAAATTATCAGACACTCGATTGGACATGACAATCTGGATATAGTTTTGATATCCGATTTAAATCTTACCTGAATAAAGTTGTCAAACTGTTTTCTGAGCCGTCTTATATTAATATTTACAATAGGCACTGTGATGAGGCCCAATATATACGCGTAGAGGAGACTCGAAGTGGTATGAAAACGCGACTTAGGTCTGGTGTATAGGTCGACCGCGAGTACGAGCACAATGCCGAGCACCACTGAAACAGAGAAGGGAGCGAATTAACGATATTGACGAGCCCGAGACGCGCGCAGTACAAGAATGTGGTGCACTGTGCAGTGAGCACAGCTTAACCACACGATGAAAATGATGAGTGGTGCACGAATGGACAAAAAAGCTCAAGTCTGCTTTACCGGAAATGCAAGCACCTGTGACGTTCTACCTAATTAACAATGGTCATTTCAGCTTTAAAGTTTAACTAATATGAGCAGATGTCAAGATGGAACACTAGATTTGAACAGGGGTCATACCAAGCCCACGGACCAGATGATCAAATAACAATCGGGTGGCGACCAGATGACGATTACCTGCCAGACACCATGCCGCCAATGTGCAGAGAATCTCCATGGATGAAGTGAGAGGGCACCGGGAGTGGCCGGGGCGATCGAGTGAGCGTCTGATCGCTGACCGCCGCCGCCCGGGCGTAACCACTTGGTATCTGCGAAGGTCACCACGGCATGGCGTAATGCCAGCTCATCTTATCGGCAGTGGCGCCTCCAGACCCGGGTGACGGACGTGAGCGAAGCGGCTTCGTCATCGATTCTGTCCTCAGCGTGCATCGACAATTTGCGTAAACCGCAGCCTGCCCTCGCCCATACCCCAATTCCCCTAGGTGTGCAGCGTGCGGCATGCTCGTAACGCCGCGCTGGGGCGCGTTGGTGCGGACGATCTACCGCCGCTGACGGCTACACAAGTACCGCACATTGCACAGACCGCCTCTATCTGACAGTGCAGGGTCGGCCATCGAACACCTGGTTACATGTTACATGCTTCCGCCCCTAAACAGCGTTGGTAGCGGTCCGTTAGTGATTAATTGATAATGGCCTCGTAGGTCGTTTGAATCGTTGATAAGTACCGTCTAGTTATGTTCGATTCATCTGTCCGTCTCGCATACCATTGGATTGGTATGAATTGCGATCGTTCAAAACATATGATCCGTGAACTTTTTGCATGTTTTACCTGGCCCGCATCTAAAAAGTTTATAGCGTCCTTTGTATTAAAGGCATCTGTATTAATTCATATGCATTATTATAATCACGATGACAATATTTCCTAATGTTATTTTGATTATCACCTTAGCATGAATCGCAACAATAACGCACACTAACCAACCAGACAAAACGTAACAATTTGAAGAAAAAAAACAGCGCAGTAATAACATATTCAAACGGCGGTAAAACTAAATCGCTTTTTAGACCCTCTAAACAACAACAAAGTAACAGAAGAATTTCGAAGTGGCAATGAATAATTAAAACATGTATCCGCTTTTAATTGAGTCGAAAGAACTGAGAACATTCGCTGGCAATCCCTGACATTCTGTTACGTAATGTGGAGTCCATTGACAACGCGGCGCTGTTGCATGTGCCATGTAGCCTCGTGATGACATTCTGGCTTAATAAGCACGAAAACTTAAAATACACACGAAAGACGGTCTGGCAGTGTCAAGCATCGATGAATACGGACAATTTTCAGGTCCGCAGGCCTAGTATGACAGATGCTTGGACGTGTAGGGCCGAGGGTCGTAGGCGCGAGGCGCCTGTTCCCGCGACTTTTCGTGGGCGGTTTTCTTGGGACCGTGGTTGTATTCGAAGTAGTGCTCGCCCTGACCTCCGCTGTAGTCGCCCCAGGTTACCTGAGAATAAAAGCACTGCGGTTAGGAAAAGCCGATTCGCTTAGGTTTATGTCAGAAAAACCGCAGCCAGAGCTGATATGGCTTTGGCTTCATATGGCTTCATGGAAAACACAATGCTTTTATATTTAATCGACATTCTAAACCGTCATACAACACACATCATTCACGCAATTACCTAATATATTCATTGGGATATGACAAATTAAACATGAGCTAAACTCATAATAGTAGCGGGAACTTACGGACATGGGATTGAGTAATGAGTATACAGAATACAGATGCAAGTTTCTAATTTTTAGCTTGGTACGTCCACGTCAAATCTGTTGAGTGTTCAGCTATGATTGGACAGTTAGGTATCAATTACCGAAGCATTACCGGGCAAGTGGGCAGGATATACCTACGACAGCGCCAGCTCGGGGACCTGAACTAGTCAGCTCTCGTCCTTACCTTGGCCTGGAACGTGTGGTCCTTATTCCTCTGGTGGTGCGCCCGGTGGTGGTGCGGGCTGCCGCGGCGGTACCCGTAGGCGTACTCTGTGGGCCCCTTGACGTTGGCGTACTGGAAGTAGCCACTTCTGTAGCTGGGCTCCTGGGCGAGGGTGACCGCTGCCACCAGCAGCAGCAGAAGCGCGGTGCGGTAGGCCATCACTGCGAGCGGGGATGGGTGAGCGGGTGAGCTGTCAGATATGGTGAGGTGAAGAGAGGTGAACGAGGGACTGCAGGTGACAGACCGGGCTGGCAGCGTGACAGTAGCACAACTACTACCAAACGACCAATGGTAGATAGGTAACAATGGACGAGAAGTGAATTTAAAAGAAAGGCTTATCGTTCAGTCCGCATTGAGCCGTGAACAAATTTGGCTCAAAAACCTCAACATTGCTTGTTTACTGCATGTCTCTTAAAACATATATGACATCGAAGCAGAGTAAAAACGAAAACCAATAGGTACGTAAAAAATCCTACGCGATAACCCTAATGCGCATGAAAGCAATAAATTGCTGTACTCCTACCTGGTCTATCTGCTGAAATTATTAAAGTAAAAAGGACGGCAAACAAGCTCAGTTATAAGTAATCGACGACGACTTGTTTACTAATGCAGTAAGAGCGTAAGTGATAGACGTTTATAAGAGAGCCGATTGTTTGCTTAGTCCTCAAAGCGCTGAAGGACGTTCATGTGACCAAAACGCTTTGTGTTTTTGCATCGTCTAATTTACTGAAATTATTTTGTATATCTATGTGTATTATGCACTGCTTCTGCAGCTGTCAACATTCGGTTTACCTTACATAGATAATTAATTCGCCACGAAAAGTTTGTGATGCATGTATGCCTACATTACGTATACCTAATCAATACATCAATGGAACGTTGACCGCCTGACGCGAATACACCTACCGATGCTCCGGAGACAAGGTGACGACAGTGACGACGCAGTGATCGTACTGGGACGGGCGCCTGTAGCTCCACCGAGGACACGGGAGACTAGTGCTGTTCGACACCCGCTCGGCGGCTATATAGTGAAGAGGTGGTGGTGTCGGCTGCGTTGAGCCGTTCAACACGCGGCACTGTCAATGGGGGCCTTTCACCGGCGCACGCGCCCTGATCGTCCATCTCAACTCGCGGTCGCCGGCTTAGCGCAACACCGCCGCACGGTCTCGAAACAGGACCATGTGCGCGACACGCAATCTCGTAACATACAGCGACCATATGCGGCCAACACACAATCGGCCACTACTGGTCGGAGGATGCGCCGTTTTAGTTTGTAGCTCTGTAGTCTCTAACATCGCTGTTTAACCCGCGCGTAGCTGGGTATATTCCATTAAGGCGAGTGCTGTTGAAATATATTCCGTAACACGAGTGAATGAAGGGGAAGGAGATCTGAAGAATCTATCTCCAAAATCTCTTATCTGATTTCCAAAATTCTTACAGTGTTTGATAGCCCCGGAAACAGAGACGGTTCGTATCGTAAAAAAGGTTCGATATGTGCAAAATGTAAAATAAAATTTAAAAATTCGTATACAAGTAGGTCGTCAAGGTTCGTAAGGCTTGTAAACTGCTCGTAAGGGAACAGTGTATCACGTAATACGTGACCTTACAAGTCACCTGACCTTAGTTTCTTTTTACATTGTTAGGTACACTTTGCCCGTGCCCGTCCATATGCATTTAACATAAGGCAGGATAATGGGGGACGACCTCTGGGTGATTTGACGCCATAAGACGCTGAAACACCAATTCTAAATGTATGTAGGGGAGAGTGGGGAAAGATGCCCAGGGTTTTGCTATGTCATGTATTATTCGAAAATGACGACCGGAAAGCAAAAACTTGGAGTTTCAACGGAAGCCGACATCATTTTTCTCCAAAAATATCACACTTTCGTGCCTGAAATATGATAACGTTTTTTGCTATTAAGCATTTTCCTGAAGAAGTGAAAGGGGGCATCTTACCCCACAGGGTGGGAAAGACGCCCCCTGGCGTTGGGGAAGATGCCCCCTGCATTGAAAGTGACATAAATGGGCACGTGAATCGCCTGAACGAATCAGCAGTCCCTTCGAGCCTGCAGTAGACACCAAACGTCATCGAAAGGGCCCTCAAAAGTAGTCGTAAGGGGCTTCAGAGGTCATCGTTAGGGCCATCATAGTCCAGCGCGTCCAAACAAGCCTCCGTGGTGGCGTTCGGAGACCACTGTGGGGCCCTTATAGGTCTTCATGATGCTTGAGGGCCCTCGAGCCCATCGTGGGGACCTCAGATGCCAGCGCGGCCCGTGGAGCCAACGTGGGAGCTCTCGAAGGATGTCGTGAGGGGCCCTGGAGCCAATAATGGGGCCCACAGAGGCCGTCGTGAGGGCTCCAGAGGCAGATGCCGCCCAAAAAGTCGCTGTGTGGGCCGAGAGACCGGCATTGGGAGCACCCGACCGTACTGGACTCCCAATAGTCCCAGATCGGCTTTTGTCTCTCATCACAAGTATGTAATAAAAGATTTGACGGCCTGCTTGAGGGACAGCCTAGGGATTTAGGGGGGCGTCTTTCCCCATCAGGACAGGGGGCATCTTACCCCAAGGTACCGAATTAACATTAAATCAGTACAATTTGTTAGCCATAAAACTACACCCTGAAACAAACTGTTTGGGACACAGTACGCGCATGTTAATGTATCACGACTATAGCAAGGGACGCAAAAATTATCTACCTTCTTTGATATTTACAATGTTTTGACACCAAAATATTTTTTGAAAGCAGCAAATAAAAAACATGCAATCACCAGCCAGCCGTTGCCCAACTGAGCTTCGCAAATTTTTGTGCAGTTAACAAGGCAGGCTTCCGCTTTACGCTAAGAACATTAATTTCCAGGTTTGATTCTTTGTTTCGCCCCTAGAGGGGGTGGGGCGTCTTTCCCACCCTGGGCATCTTACCCCACTCTCCCCTAAGTAAGTACGTGTCTCTAACCGGTCACCAACGACGTTCTGCAGCTTTGTGCACGGAATGGCGTCGGTCCTGCAGTCGTTCAAACATATAAGACATGAGTGAACCGATTTACCTACATGCGATCTTTTTTGTGGGGGTACCTTCGTCAACTGCCAAGTAATTGGACCATTTCCGATGCAGTGACCCCCACCCCCATGTGCTGTTGTGCAGTGTGCACATGGCACATGCCACGTCACGTGCAAAACGAAGAGGTGTGAACTTGTAACAATAACAATAACTTGGCAAGCGTGCTGAAACGGGACCGAGCGTGCTGAAACTTGGCGTACCTGTATCTATGTATGTATATTGTATATGTTACGGCCGTTTGAAAACTCAGCCCGTATTCATGCTGCCCGGCCCGTAGGTATTAATACTGTCCGGCCCGTATTAGGTAATGTCCGTGAAGTTGGCGACGTCGCCAGCGACTTTTCCAGCGACGAGGTAATACCTACTGACTAACCGAAGGGCCGGCCTTTGATACATGATGGTGGCAGTGCCCACGTGCAGCATACTGCACCCACGTATAGGCCCACCGGCATAGGTGGGCACGATCCGTTCCTCCGTTCCTCCGTTCCGGAACGCCGTTACAATTTTTAGGAACGGAGGAACGGACTCGTTACATTTTAAAAAGGGTAACGGACCAAGTAACTTCCGTTACATTCGTTGTTCGTTCCTCCGTTACAAGTTAACAGTTTAGTCCGTTCCTTCGTTCCTCCGTTACTTTTCGTTGTCCGAGCGGGTTGATCTTTCAGCTAACCCACAGACATTAATGCAGCAGCGGAATAGTGGATTATTGAGCAGCCCTGACTTGAAGACGGAAGATGGCCTCAGTGTACAGTGTACTGGCCTTCCGCAATGAGCCGGCGTTGCAGTATGTGTTCGCAAAGTTCAACACGGGCGTCCCTTCAAGCGCCTCAGCAGAGCGCATGTTCTCAATGGGAAAAGATGTGCTACGTGCAAAAAGGGCTACCCTCTCAGAAAGTGGCAGCGGAACATCTTCAATTAAGGGAGAGGGGGGGGGGGGGCACTGCCGACTTTTTGTCCCATTCTTTCCATGCAACGCACATAGGGCTAATGTTAAAATGCCAAAATCAAAGGGGGCACGGTGCGCCGGTGCCCCCCCCCCCGTTCCGCCGCCTATGCTCTCAGATGCCAACCTGGAACGTCTAGTGTTCGTGAAGTGCAACCGGCATCTGGCCGGGGACAAGTGATGCGCATCAGTACCACCAGACGTTCCAAGGTTTAGTGTCCAATCAGTGCCCACTGTCTTGGTAGATTTGGTGGGCATTCCGCTTTCTCGGTAGGTTTAGTTTGTGTCAGAATGGTCTCAAAAATGTTTGAAATACCCAACATTTTAACGTTTTTTATTTTGCTGTAACGGAGTAACGGACTAAAAGAACTTCCGTTACATTATATACAGAGGAACGGAGGAACGAGTAACGGAAGTCACGTTTTGAGGGAACGGAGGAACGAGTAACGAAGTTACAATTTTGGGGAACGGTGCCCACCTATGCCCACCGGTAAGTAGGGCGTCGTGCACAAGTTCTCTGGAATTTCGTAAAGGCCTCTGGCCTCACTCTTTCTCGCTCGTAGTGGTTTATCGCCGCATAAGGCGTCTTTCTGGTCCGATACGATACGAACCTTTTCCACTACGAAATACAGCAGCCGTTAAAACCTTATTCGTCGGGCGACTTTGCCCGACGAACTTTGCCCTTTGCCTGTCGTTAGCACTGCAGGCTTGTCAGGGGCACCACCACAGTCCTTCCAGGTGCACCACAAACCTGTCAGGAGCGCCTGCGGCCGTAGGCGCGCCACAGGCACGTATGGGGTCCACAGGCCTGCCCAGGGCCCAGGGGCAGCACAGGCCTAGCAAGGACACCATAGGCCTGTCAGGGTCACCACGGGCCTGTCGGGGGGCACTTCAGGCATGTCAGTGGCACCACAGTCCTGTCAGGGCCCAGGGGGTACCAGCGGTCTATCAGGGGCACCACAGGTCTGCCAGGGGCACTACAGGCCTAGCAAGGGTACCACGGGCCTGTCAGGGGCACCTCAGGCTTGCCAGGGCCCAGGAACACCACAGACCTGCCAGGGGCACCACAGGCCTGTCAGGGGCACCACCGGCCTCGCAGGGGCGCATTGGGCCTGTCAGGGGCACCACCATGTGCCTGCCGGGGACACCTCAGGCTTGTGAGGGGCACTCCAGTCCTGTCCTGCCAGGGGCACAACTGGCCTCGCAGGGGCATCACCGGCCTCGCAGGGCATCACCGGCCTAGCAGGGGCACCACCGGCCTAGCAGGGGCTCCACTGGCCTCGCAGGGCACCACCAGCCTAGCAGGGGCACCACCGGCCTCGCAGGGGCACCAAGGGCCTGTCAGGGGTACCACGCCTGTGGTGCTCTTGCCAGGCCGATGTGCCCCTGACAGGCCCGTGGTGCCCCTGCTAGGCCTATGGTGCCCCTAGCGGGCCTGTGGTACCCCTGTCAGGACTGTGGTACCCCTGATGGGCCCGGGGGCATGACCCATGTGACCCCTCCCCCCTTGGATCCGCCACTGGCGGGCCTTATCTGATACTACGAATCTTTCCATACGAACCTTTGGCTGCTTAGGAACCTGCCTCTTCCTATACGAACCAAGGCTGTATATACGAACCATAAGCTTACGAATTTCGTGAAATTGAGTGGAATTCAAGAGTGACCCGAATTCAAGTGAAAAGCGAATTATTACCTACGTCCAATCAAATAAATGAACGACTTGTGACGTCATCAGACTCATTTTCAACATATCTCTTAGCTATTGCGCTCAATTCTTAAATCCTTGAAAACTGATCGGAGACCTGTGGAATCGTCGGGATGGGGTGCGCGCTGCGTGTCTGTTAATTAGGATTTAACCCATTTTGCGGCTAGACCAGCGAAAAGCTTCATATTTGAAAGGAACATTCTGATCTACAGCTACTCAAAGTTTCGTGGTAAGCTGCTCACGCGATGGTTTGCTTTTTTTGATACTGTGGCGTTTATGGCGCGTATGGTTTCGAAAGTTGGCGTGGTCCGTTTAGAAAAGAACAAAAGAATTATGATTTATGCTTGCTGTTGAATGTCCGTTTTCTGTAAGTAAAGCAATTTCCAAAGAATTGGACATAACGAGTATATTCAAGTGCTTTGCTGCTTCCTATTGCTTCTCATTGTTATCTGCTAATTGTGAGATGAGCTCAAGCTTACACTTAAAACTTGGACCGGACCAACTCATCATCATGGCAAACATTGGAAGTCAGTGTTTGTAGATGTTATGGGCTGCTACCAAGAACCAAGCTGTCCTAGCCTATTTAGAAAAAACTTGAATTTTGCTTCCTTTTGGGTTGCTGTGCTCTGTGCAGCTAATCTAGTGTTAAAATGATGGCTCCATTTTCTGTGTGAGGGTCAAGGAAAGGAAGCTCATTAAGTGAATTGTGATGCTGCAGGAGAGGTACCTAGTCTCTGTTGCTCATTGGACTCATTGAACTATCATGTATTTAACAGTTACATTGCATTAAACATTTAGTCGTCACTCATCAGTGATTAGTGATTAGACCATTGAACAATGTTCTAAGTATTAAGTTGTGGGAAAACCCATGAAGAGCATTTCCACATATTCTTACCAAACCTAATCATATGTTATCATAATGAGGATCCAATTTCCATTAGGCTATCGATCCATAGGATATGGTCATTAATCATTAGAAGAACCCCAATGAACCTGTTTTCCCAAACAGCTTAGTAACCCAACATGACCCACTCTTATGTAGAACATGACATATAATAAATTGATCATATGACTCATCCTTATAAATCAAGTACAAATGGTTGAAGATCAAAGGATGCTATGATGGTTTAGGATTGGACTATTGCACCTTGTCCTGTTATCCAATATAATTTATTGTAACATAATAACATAGTAATCTATCCAACATTATTAATGATAAGTTTATTTCTAGTGGAATTTCTTGCATCTACCTGCCAAGCTAGTAATGTGTACATTGACCAGCCATTCACATAGTTTTTATACTACAGTGCTGCTACTTACATGTTTCTCATAAACAGCAACTGTTATTCATGCAGTGTCTCAGTGTGCCTTAGTCCTAAATCCCACTTCTTTTTTATTGCTGAGATTCACTATGCATCCCCTCTGCACAAGACCTTACCTTAATTGTAAAAATTCATGCCCAATTTCATGATAGTTGAATAGTAAATCATTTAATTCACATTTTACATCCTGGTAATTTTTATCTTTTTTTTCTAAAAAGTGCCACTCAATTTACATTTTACACTAAAGTTGTTTAAATGCTTAGCGTCTGCAAGCTATGTACTGTGTAGGCTACAAAACACTATTTGACTGTGATGCTAGAATGGCAAAATATGCTGGACTCAGTGTATGCATCTCAAATTGTTTAACTTCAATGACCCAATTGTTACCTATGTTTTTGTTGTGATCATCTTTGTCTTGGCTTTGCTTGAGTGGGACAATAATTAGACACCAGGGCCTCGTTTCATAAAGCGGTTCCTTAACTTACGGCGGCTTTTGATCTTGTATTGGAAGTGCATGTGAATCGATGACGTTAGTTTGAACCGTTGAGTTTATTGAGCTTGCAAGCAAGAACAGAAGGGAGACGGGGAAATAAATTTATCGCTTCACATGCACTTGAAATACAAGACCAAAAATCGGCGTAAGTTACGGACTCGCTTTATGAAACGAGGCCCAGGTCACTTGTCAGTTGTCCTGTCTCTCAAACTGCCGCACCAGGTAACTGTTTGTCGCTATATTTCTGACCAGTAGCTGACTGGTGGTACATACTGTACTTCTGTATCTGTACCTTTGTCCAGTAGCTGACCGCTCTCACTGTACCTCTGTCCGGCAGCTGAGAGGCGGCCCGCGCACCCCGATGCCGCCGGCTCCCATCTCTTCGTGCTCGGCCGGGCCGCGCGCGCGCACCGACAGTGACACCCAGACGGAGCCGGCGCCCGGCCGGAAGCCCAACGGCGCCGCCGCCGGCTCGCCACACTCTCCGCCGCCGGCGGCCGCAGCGGGCATGGACGCCGCCGAGCCGGCCGGCAGCGGCGGCGAGTCGGACGCGGACGCCGGCCCGGCGGCGGTCGGCGGCGGCGGCAGCTGGCTGCTCTCCCGTGTGCCGATCCTGGGCGCCCTGGTGCACCACCGCTGCACGGACAAGGCCACGCAGACGCACCGCGACCCCGTGCAGGCGGAGGCCGAGAAGCTGGCGCTCGACACCGTTTACTTCGCCATCGGCAAGCACCGCGAGCCGACCGGGGACCGGGTCTGTCAGACGCTGCGCCGCTGCGTGGACGAAATCCTGGTGAAACACCGGCTGCTGTTCACGGGCATGGTGACCCGGCTCTCGATCCGCGAGGAGACCGGCTACCAGACGTTCGTGGGTGTGGCCGATGAGCTGTTCGAGCGTGGACACGTCACCTGGGCGCGCATCGTCACCTTCTACGCGTTCGGCGCGCGACTAGCCCTCTACTGTCAGGAGCAGGGCATGGACGACTTCGTGTCCGAGATCGCACGCTTCATCGGCCTGTACGCGTCCGAACACCTGGCCGGCTTCGTGCGGCAGGAGGGAGGATGGGTAAGTACAGACTCAACAGAGTCCTGTTAGTGGTGGGAGGGAGGTAGGGTGAGTACCCAGTAATGTAGTGGGGAGGGAGGCTGGGGGAGTGCTCGGTACCCAGTGTAGTGGTGGGAGGGAGGCTGGGCGAGTACACAGAACGGTAGTAGTGCGACTGGTGGGCGGTGGCCGGATTCTTGTGGGAGCAGGGAGGCTGAGTGAGTATTGGGTACTGTAGTAGTGTGATGGAAGGTGGATAACAACGAAAGTTGCATGGACTTCGTGCTCCAGGCCGGGCAAGGAAAATAAGGCAACAGCTCATCAGCAAACCACCACAGTCTGGCAGGCTGGCGTCTGTGGGGGGACGGACAACCTTCCATAGAAGTGATACCTCTTGGCGAGCACTTTATTATGAGTTGCACGCAACGACAGCAGGAGGAGACGCTTCCTTGTTCATGAGGCGAGCCATTGTTGTTTGCGAAAGTTACAACATGAAGATTCTACATGACTTGTAGGTCACGATACCCTGTCCTTGTGCTATCGACCTTTGGCTTGCCGGTTGACTTGACATTTTATATGGACTTCGTCAAGTGTGCTAAACAGACGGGTTGGTTAACTCAGAGCCGCGCTAGACAAAGCGTGTTGACTGGGTCTGCGTGTTGACGTGTTGACCCTACCGTTCTATCGGGAAATTATGTGTTATTTGGATTATTTTTGGGCCGGAACAAGTGTGTCCAGTGTCGATATAACTAGCTGGCGATGGGCGTAGTTCGTCCCACACTCGGCGAATTCATTTGGAAAGGATTGCTCGCTATCATTCTTTTGTCATTTATTCATAGGCGTTCAAAGCATGCGTTCACCTATCAAGCACCGCTTTGAGGGTTTCAATGCGGCCATCTGTTCTTATGGTAGAAGACGCGTGGTGCAACATGCATCCCAGAAGAAAGCAGAGGTTTGACGCAACCCAGCGGAACGCGGACGAGATTGTATACCGGCATGAGCGCTTGAGCGCTTTCAGCGGGACATGATTTGTATCGGCTAGTTACGGATCGTTTGAACGTGCTTTCCTTTTTTAATTAATCAGCAAGAAAGGGTGATATCATGACAAGCACAACACTGAAGAGTTTCATCGCGCCTCGTGCAGGAGCCGCATTAGAATCACGTGCCGATTGCCGCTCTGGGTACTCTCCGTATAGCTCCCTGGCCAATAACCGTCACTGGGACTAGTACGGCCCTTGGCGTGCACAGGACTGGCCAATATTGACCCCAATTTCAGGTGGTTGGATGTTTTGCTCTATTGTCTGACCGTGGCCACCGACCCGCCACTCGCGGGCCAGTGACTTATTGGGTTGGCATGCAACGCCAGCTGACTGGTAGAACGGGAGGCCAGTCAGGGATCACATACCGGCGTTCCAGTGTCGTGACTCAAAGCCTGTTGGTTGTTTAGCGATGCAGTTTGCAGCGGCATAGGTGCGGGATTGTCGACTCATGACAAGTCTGCCCCTTCCCTCCCCCGCCTGCCTGCATGGTTGTCCGATGGCTCATGACCACAGGAATGTTTACAAATTCTAGAACGCCTATCGAGACGGCAGGATCAAATATGTAACTTGGAATTTATGTGGACCAATAAATAACGCTCCTTTTAAGCGAAAAAATGGGCGTGATATTTGTAACGAAAATGACGTATTTTACAATATGAAGCGTACTTTTGAAGAAATATTCGCTAGTAAACTCAGTGACAAGCGCTTGGTGTACATCCCAAGATACGTTTGCCTGTATGTGTCCGTCTGTAGGTTTGACACTATGGCTCTGTTCCCCGGCAGGCGGTGTTGTGCGACCATTTCCGGTACCCGGAGGACATGGAGTCCAAGGTGTGGAGCGCGCTAGTGAAGCTCGGTCTCGGCCTCGGCATCGCCGCCACCGCGTCCCTCATCTCGTCTCGCTGAGAGGGGGGCGGCGCCTCCGAGCTGACCACCCCTCCCCCTCCGCCGTCCTCCGGCGCACAGAGACGTTCGGCACAGCGCCGGACGCCGCAGTTTTATCTGAGCGACCCCTACCATTGTACAAACCGCGTGGTGCACCCGGGCCGGACAGGCGGGACACCACGTCGGAGGAGCGCACTTGGCGCCTCTGCTTCTCAAAGCGGTGCGCCGCGTCGGCCGCGCTCCCGCAGCAGTGTACGGCGTGTCGGCAGACGGCTTGGCCGCTGCTGTGTGTGTGAAGAGGCGCCGATCCCACAGACGGGCGCTGCGGGCTGGGTTTTAGGGGCGGGGCTGGGACGGCGCGCCCGGCCGGCCGCCGGCAGTAGCCGTGTAGCGGTAGTCTAGTCAGGCGGGCGGGCCGGCCGGCCGGCGGAACCAGCAGCCGCTCGTCTTCCAGGGTCCGCCGCCGAGCGTCGGTCAGAGGCCGCGGCCCGACAGGAATCTACACCGCGCTGTGTGGAGCGCCCCCGACCGTCAGCTGAGGGCGGTGTGAGGCCGGCCGTTGGCGGCCGCTCACAGGCCTCACTTACCTGTCTGTCGTATTGTGTGTGCTCGTGTGTGTCTGCCCTATGTGTGTGCGTGTGTGCGTCTGTATGTGTCTGAGCTCGTCAGAGTGTGTGCGTTTCCAATCAGATGCCTGGTCAGGGTGTGTGTGCGCGCGCGTGCCGCTGCGCACTGTCGCGGTGACGCCTGCCTCTCACGTTATTTATTGCGTCGCCCGGGCTCGGCCCGTGCCGCTCGCTTCGCATTGGCGACGCACGGCACTGGGGACACCGCATTGGTTCATTCAGTTTATTTTTGTATTAATTGCTCTGCATAGTGTAATAAAAAATAATCGTCCAGGGTATGTCGGCCTGTGACTGGCGTTGGTGGCTCTAGCCGACAGTACTTTCACTGCTCCAGAAGCGCTCATTGTAATTGACAGTGTCAGTGACGTCATCTCAGCCGTCTCTCATATTTCAGCGGCAAGTAAGTAGACCGCGGACGTCGCGCTGAGTGGTAAAGAAACGAGACATAACGTGTTGCGATGCTAGGTAGGCAGTGGTGAAATTACTTTGATACGTCAAGAAAACCCTAAACTTCGTCATGGACTAGAAAACTGTTATGAAAGGATTAAAAGAACCAACTGAACTGCAAGGGAAAATGTGTCACAGAACAATCTTACAGGGCGATGCGTGTTATCGGCCCTCAAAACACCAGGAAATTAAAGAATTGTGCCTCTATACTTGGACTACCAAGGACTTGTGTGAAGCTGCTATACAGCTAACTGTGGAGCTGTGTGGAGCTTCTGCTGTACTCGCAGCTGATGTCGGTCGTTTGTGGCCGTCTGCAGTCGGGCCCCATCAAGAGCCGGACCGGCCGGCTCGTGTCGCCGTTGGCTTGCCTTTCCTCTGAATGCTGCCCGGTATGTGTGGCATGCGGTCTGAGCCGGTCTCGGCAGGGTGGCGCCCCTCCCTCCCCTGCCAGTATGCAGCCAGCCGGTGCCCGTGAGCAGCAGGCCGCGATCGGGGCAAATCAACGGTGTGATCGGACGCACCTGGCTCAGCTGCAGTTGAACAGAACTCCAAATATCTCCGGTGGTGGTTGCATAACTCCCTTCTCTCCAGCCCGTCGTACCATGTTGGTCGGCCACCCTCCCCGCCGCCGGCCGACGCGGCGGCCCGTGAGCTCCGTCTGTTCTGGTGCCTCTCTCTCTCTCCGATCGAGGCCGGCCGACCGGGTGTCGCTGCACTATCGACTCGGCGCCGCGGCGGCCACGGCCAGCTCGCTCTCCGAGAGCTGCGAAAACATGTTTTTCTCGCGCGTGCCGTGCCGTTAGCTGAGCTGCGTACCCGGGCAGAGGCCCTCTCGTCTCGAGCCGGGCGGCTCTGACCCGGCTGCCGACGTTATGAGCAGTCTGATCGACCGAGTTTGTCCGTCCGTTCGGTCGTTCGCCTCTCGCCGGCCCGACGACGGTTCCGACGACGGTCCGAGGGCTATGACTCCCGGCTGAAGACACGGTGCATCGCCGTCTCTGAGAGCATTGCCGCCACAGCTGTGCTGAGACTCTGTATGTCGACATAGGCAAACAGACCGTTTAGTAGCCCGGTCACCAGCTGCTACTGTCGCAACGAGTTAACACCCTGCTCCCGACAGTTCCTATTTGTCACTGCGAGACTCCACCAGTGTTTCACGCCTCACCAGCTGTTGTCATATCGAAACACCGAGCGCCGCCCGGCGTGTAGCTTGTCTAGTGGAGCGGCCAATTGTGTTGACAGCTCCCGGAGGCGTCACCGACCGACCGACCGGCCGCCGCCCGGTCCCGTGCGGCCGCTCACTCGCCACTCCCCGGGCCGTGGGGTGTGGTAACCGGCGCGGTGGAGCGTGTCATTGGTGGAACGGTCTCAATCACAGGGCGAATCCAGTAAGCTATCGAACTCGTGTATATGATTGGGTGTAAATGGGGAATAATGGGCATAACTGTGGGCGTAAGTGTCAAATGGACGAACAATATCAGTCAGTGGGGTGCGAGGTAACTGATTTAATTATTTGTGAATGTACAACTGCATAGCTGCATCACTAAACGGGATGTAACCGGTAGAGCTGTATGAGTAGTACAGTGAGCTGTATCAACTCGTGGTGGGATGTGGAACTGGAATAGCCGTATCAGTCAGTGGGCCATGACACACAGTCGCCCCTCCCCGGTCCCGCCGTTTTACAGATTGTGACGTCCGGTGGTCCTCGAAACCGACCCTCGTGTCGATTAATCGGCTATCTCGGTATCAAGTGTAACCACACCCGTGAGCCAGGGTGATCTCGGAGTTATCAGGCAAAACGAGGTGATGTGACTAATGCCACCTCGTCATGTGACCACTCTGAGATGCGCTGCGCAGTGCGCAGTGCTAGGCCATGCGATGGTCCAATAAGCCGCGATAGCTTCAACTGACCTTGAACAGCTAAACTCAATCTTAAAGCACGGACAATACATAGTCCGTTTTTCGTTCCTCACTTGTAAAACCTCTAACGGTTATAAATAACCAAAGATACGGCCACCCACAACCTATGCACGAACTCGTCTCAAGAAGTAGTAAATGATCGTCGATCTGTTTGTTTTCGCCTTTGGTGCATGCCAATGCCACCGTGCTGGCCCTTCGGTATGTCGGAATGTCCTCTTAGCATTAACCCTCGTCATGGTCAGAGCGATTCGTTTCCCGCCGCCTATAGAACAGATGGTCCCCTCGGGACAGTCGGCCCGGCTCGAATTACAGCCGTCTTCAGATCTGCACGGGTGTATTGCTCAAACAACTACACAGCGGCGCAGAAAGCGTACGGTACGGACTCGACTCACCAGTAAAATGCATCCAATCACGGCCACATCGCGGTCACGCTAATAATCATGGGCTATATAATAAGACTCGCGCGCGCGCGCTCTCACAACGCGTCCGCTCGGCCGGCGGCGTCCCGGCTGGACATAATACAGGGCGTGGCGCGGCGCGGCGGGGCCGACCGGCCCGCGGTATCACTCAGTGCACGGCGGACGAGGCCGGCCGGCCCCGCGCCCCTCGGAGCCCGCCCGAACCCGTGTGGCAGCGGCTGACCCCACCCCTCCCGCCGTCCCCAGTCCGGGGACCGTCCCACATAAAACTCTCCGGCGGCCGGCGGTCGCCTCTACTCGGCGCCCATCGACCCGGGTTCCAGCTGCCGCGGGTCACCGCCGCTGACCTCCCCTGCCCTGTCCACTGAAAGCGCTACCACCTTCTGGTGTCTGTCGGCGGGTCGCCCCCCCCCCCCCTGCTCCTCCCGCCCCCGTCCAGACCGCGTTCCGACTAGTCGCTCTGGCGCTGAGCACACCCTGTGCTCGCCGATAGCGCTCTGCGCGGCGGGCGCGGCGCCACCGGTCAGTCAGCTGTGTGACTATAGGTTCGGGAGCAGTCCGCTGGCAGCAGTGTCCGTGGCGCGGTCCACCTAGTCGTTATAGACCCACCAGTCACGCTCGTAGCCCTCGTGGACGTGCTCGAGGAGGGCCTTTCGCCGGCCCTCACAATACCTGAAAGGGAGGAGAGGACACGGTTAGAGAACGAACAGCGCGCCGTGACGTGTCCAACGGAACACGAGTGGGTAACCATCGGGGCCCCGATCGCTCACAGAAGGTAGCCGGTAACCCCGATGAGATGGCGGAACAATGGCCAGTGACGATAAGCGTGTTCGTCCGCTACAAATAGACCGCGGCTAGCCGACAGTGTGGCTATTGTGCCCGTCAAAGTTCCCAGTGGTTCTACTGACCTGTACTTATCCTGGACTTTCTGTTTGATGTCGACCAGGTTCTCCTGAGTGATGTCCCGCTCCAGATACTCTGAGAGCACCTCGGTGCACCGCTCCAGGTCCTTCTGGTTCTCCTGAGGGGAGGGACAGTCAGTTATAATCAACGCTCCAGGTCCTTTTGTTTCTTACCACACAGTGTCACCCAAACAAACAGACAAGTCGGCTTATGTGGGACCACTCAGTTCAGACACAACGCAGAGGCCCAACCGATAAGACACCAAAACAGCGTCTACAAATTTCACTTTTTATCACAATTACCTCGATAACAGAGAATTCTGCCCGATAAGACGTTTCATCATTATTTAGGTCTTTGTTTTTTGTGACCAACATATGCTGGTTTCACTGGTTTGTGTCATGACGAGCAAAGCAGGCAGAGACGAAAAACGGCCACTACTTACGAGTAGTAAAAAGAACCTTGTAATCAAGCAGGTTTCAAATGCTTAAAGAGACCCCCGAAGGTTTGGGACACTGAACTAACCTCGAAGATGGCAGACTGGTTGTTTTTGCGCAAGTAGTACGCAAACACGTATGTGTACATGAGTGTGACGCGACAGGAGCAGAGGATGTCAACCGCCTTCTTCAAGAACTGGACCTGAAGATCAAAGCAAGGGCCGTCAGGTAACGACAACGACACGGTTAAGAGTAAAAAGGAAGGGTTGACATTTTACATACCACGGTGAACAAACGCGGTTCATGGTTAGAGAAACAACAGTGCGTGCAGAGTCGCTAATGATTTGAACGCCTGAAATTCACGTAAGTTACGATTCATTTGACGCCGTTTTCGTCTGGCACCGGCTGATTTTCTCTACCAGGGAAATATCAAGTAACTAAGCTGTCTGTGATAAGCAGTGGCCGCCAGGCCGGCACCTACCTCGATCCAGCTCATGTTGTGCTGCTGCATCTCCTCCATCTTCTCCTTGACGGACGCGTACAGCTTGTTCTCGAACTTGAGCGACTGCATGTGGTTCATGTAGCGGTTGCAGTAGAAGAGGTACCGGTTGAGGACGGCGCGCGACTTCTCCTGGGCGTCGCGCGCCGCCCGTGCCTCGTCCTCGTCGTATCGGTTACAGCTGTACCTGCGGCGCCCAGGAGGGGAGAGTCGGCACTCAGCACACGGACGGTAAACTCACAGTCACCAGAGGGCGGTGACTGTGAGTCCACCGAGGATGGGCTCACAGACTCACAGTCCACTTTGACGGGGCGGAACGGATGAATGGCGTTTAATCGAGCATACAGTCCAACAGCCGAGAGAGCACTTCTGGTGAGGACCTTCTTCACTTCAAGAACACGTAAAGTTTTCTCTACAGCATCAGGGCACCACGACGATCCGTGCGGTCCATGCCACCCTAGTGCGGCCTACGCCAACTCACAGAGACGAGCTCACAACTCATGAGGACGACCCGTGCGGACCACGCTAACTCATTGAATGACGAGCTTACGACGCGATAGAAACGAGCTCACCACTCACCATGAGGATCCGTGCGGCTCCCAGGAGCCGAGGCAGACCCAGCAGAAGTCGGCGCGGCAGCTCTGGTTCTTGCACAC